TTTCTGCGAACTCTTTGATAGTGGTTGAAAGCCCCTTTTTGCAGTCAGTTGACCGAAAAATGTGGCAACTGTAACTTGAATACATAAGTTCAATAAATTTAACCGATTATTTAACAATGCATTGTTTTAAAATGTCATAGTAGTAGTAAAATAAAATTATTTAAGTTGAAGTTAAACAATTTGAAATTTGTATGCAACTGCAAACTATCAGACCATCGATGTCGTCAAACATCGATATTGTCAATCGAATTCATGTCAACATGTCGATATTGTCAATGTCAAACATCGATGTTCTGCCTTCGATGTTTTCCTAACATCGATATTACCTTTCGATGTCAACATCGATGTTATAGGATCGATGTCCTAATCAGAACCAAACGTTCTTGTATCTAAGCAATGAAAACTGATGTTGCGAAATGAGGTTATGAAGTGAAGTTAGGCAGTTTTGTTGCACAACTCATGTAGTGAAAGTATTACACGCATTGATACAGCAGCCAATTAATTGAATTTACTTCAATTACCACCCTGTATTTATGTGAATTCAGCTGAAAACGCAAATCACTAGAGTTCACCCTAATGATACAGGGGCTAGCAATTCGCTTCGCTGTCACAATGACAGATAGACCGGGGCCCCATTTAACTTTATTACCCGGGGGGAGCTTAAGTCCGGAACCAATCCTCTTCATCTCTTCTTTCGGCGTGACGAATGGGGGAGCGGATTTTAAGGCCAACCAACATGACGATTCCTTGTTCGAACGATTCTGGCTAATTCCAATTAGTCAACCATCGAGTATAAATTCAGTTTTCGGCTACTGGGCTTCAATCGGATTAATGCTTATGGAAATGGGTTGACTTTTTCTTTAGAGTCGAGAAGATTAAATAGGACTGAAGACCAGTAGGTCGGGCCTTATTTTTTTTCTCCCCGGGTGAAAATCTCTTCAATAGGCTCTAAAGAGTCTGCGCAAAAAGGAATTGGGTTTTAAAATCGATTTACCACGTGCAACAAAGCACAGGAAAAGAGCAGAAGAACTTGGTAAACTGTTTAAGATGACAATAAAAAAACATGTTTTGTGAGTTAGTAAATTCTGTAAAAATTGTGAAACACACCGATTGGCATCGAAGAAGTTTAGTGCATCTGGAAAAACCGCAAACTTGTTCATTGGAATATGATCGAAAAACGTTGAAAACCCCCGTAAAAAGCACATATAAAAAGCATAAAGCACACACTTAGAAAGATATAACAAGAAACGAACGAAACGAACTGTTGATTTACGTTCGCCGAAAATTCTTTCAAAGCATCGTCGTTTGTGGTCAACCAATAGATTGAATGAAATGTGCTTTTGATCGAATCAAAACCACTGGGTTTCCAGGACAAAAACAAGGAAAGTCTAATGGGAAGCGAACAGAACGAACTGTTGATTCACGTTGGAGCAAAAATCTTCCTGAAAATCCACGTTTGAAAAAATAGGACGGCGATAAGTTAATGAACTCTTGAGATACCACAAAAAATAAAACATAAAAAAACCATGTGATTTTGAGCAAGGAATGTCTTCTAAATGGGGAAAAATACAGTTGAATATGAAAGAAGCAAAGCCTGGATAATGAAGATTCTGTTTGCGATTAAAAAAACGCCAGTTTGCTCACTGCAATATGATGATCTGAAAATGTTCAAATCGTTCGTAAAAAAACCTTTTGAAAAATCATGAAGCAAACGCATATAACACACGCTTACGAGAAGAAAAATTGCGAAAAACTGTTGCGTTTCCAAAGTAAAATCGAAGAAGACACGAATTGACGAACTGGAGACAAAATCTTCTTTATGCTTAACAATTAATGAAACTTTATCGCAGGAAATGGCAAAAGTGGACGATGATCTATTCTTAATTTCGAAATTATTGATTGAAAAAACTGATTCAAAGAAAAGATCAACAAAAAGAAAAATTGATTGAGGAATAAACTTATCGAACAGAATCGGTTGCCATTTTGAATGACCCTGACTAGCAAGAGTGTCTTCTAGATGGGGAAAATTCAGTTGACTATGAAAAAGCGTTGAAATTGTTCGTAAAAAGCCTGAATTAGAATTCATAAATGTCTAGACAAAAAATGAGCGCACCACAGGGTAGTTCAGTACACATAAAAAAATTTTTAACAAATTTGAATGATTATGTGAGGCCAATTTATATATTTTTTGCACTCAATTTTTCAGGATTTTTTCATTCAATTCTCTATCCAACGATGTCAGAACGAATTCTGTGGCTCGAATGGTTCTTGAGAAACTTCGAAAAAAGTAGCGTCATGTTCAAGTGGATTTTGCAACTTAAAAAAAACGACGCAAATCTGAAACTTCCTGAATTCAAGCCGTTTTTGAGAAAACTGCCAAAATTTCCCCATCCATGTTTCACTTTCTGAAAAGGCCATTTATTTCTGTCTAGAATGATGTACACATGAGCGTTCTTGCACATTTTGCCTCCGAGAAATGAGCAAAAACGTGCCGGAAAACATGAAATTTTGGCATAATCTTGAACCTAAGTGTTTGATATTCAAATTTCGCTTTCTGGGCCAAAACTACTCGAATTTCCTCACTCACGTTGTTACGACTGAATCGACCTTTCAATTCTCTATCCAACGATGCCAAAACGAATTATGTGGCTCGAATGGTTCTTGAGAAACTTCGAATAAAGGCCATTTAGTTATATTTGGAATGATGTAAAAACGAACGTTCTTGCTCATTTTGCTTCCGAGAAACATGCAAAACGGGACGGAAAACATGAAATTTTGCAATAATCTTGCGCCACC